TTAAAGATCATCCAGTCCCACCCCCTGCCATGGGCAGGGACACCTTCCACCAGCCCAGGTTGCTCCAAGCCCCCTCCAACCTGGCCTTGGACACTTCCAGGGATGGGGCAGCCACAGCTTCTCTGGGCAACCTGTGCCAGGGCCTCACCACCCTCCCAGGGAAGAATTTCTTTCTAATGTAATTTTTCACCCAGAAAGATTACAATTGGGATCTGCTGACAGGTCCAACTCCAAGGCTCAAGGGATTTTGAATGTGATGTCAGATGAGCCTGAGAAGGGATGTCCCACTGAGCTGGTCCCCAAGAGGCACAGCCATGGTGGCAGCTCCTCACACACTGCTCCACTAAGCAGCTGCTCCCTCCCAGGAGTGTTTGCATGGTGGGGAGGTCACACAGGCTTCCACTTGCACACAGAAAATCTCTTTCTAAAATCTCCCATGTCAGTGAAATTACCCAGGCTCTGGGCAGACCATGGATGTTTTCACAGTCCTGATCTTCAGGCTCCTAAAGGATCACTAAGAGCTCCTGGGGCACATCTTTACCTACACAGACATATTCCCTAGAAGGGAAGCCAGACCCTTGTTTTTGGTGAGATCCATTTTGACACCAGAAGGGAGAGCACAAGTTGCAATCTCCAAACTGCAGCTGTTGACTTTGGCATCGGCCTCACGTGGAGAGCAGTTCCTCAGGAGTCTCTGCATGCCCTTCATCCATCACCATCCCCTGCTGCTGGCACTGTGGGGCTGCTTTCACCAGGACAAAGGTAGGGTTGTAAATCCAGGCTTACAGGAGCACTTAATCCCCTCATTTGACAAACTCGGCAGCAGCTCCTTGTTCAGCTCTGGCTCTTGGGGGATTGCAGGGAATTGAAGGGGGCTTTGCTGATGGCAGATACAGCCTGGGACCTGCTGCCTGAAACCCAGCCTTTGTGTGCTGGATATACACACAAACAGCAGCTTCAGGGACATGACCAGGACAAAACAAGCAGGGGATTAAAATCCATGGGCACTCAACAGCTTTACAAAGGCAGCAGGTGTCAGCTGAGGCCAGCACAGCCCGGGGGGAACAGAGAGTGCCCTGCCAAGCACAGGCAGGGATGGAAGGGGAGATCACTGGCTACAACGTTGTCAGCATTTGAAAAATGCAGGAAGGTTGAGGAGGGACTATTTACAAGGGCCTGCAGTGACAGGACATGGGATGGCTTCAAACTGAAAGAGGGGAAATTTAGGTTAAATATAGAGAAGAAATTCTTGGCTGTGAGGGTGGTGAGGCCCTGGCACAGGTTGCCCAGAGAAGCTGTGGCTGCCCCATCCCTGGAAGTGTCCAAGGCCAGGTTGGATGGGGTTTGGAGCAACCTAGTCTGGTGGAAGGTGTCCCTGCCCATGGAAGGTGGTTGGAATGAGATGATCCTTAAGGTCCTTCCAAACACAGCCATTCTGTGGTTCTGTGATTCTGTGATTTTATGAGAAACCTGTGAGCAGCTTCCTGAGTGCAGAACAATCAGATAAGCAATTAATAATGGGAGGTGGAAAGGGAAAGAGCAAAGCAAATGAGAGATTCAAGGGTAATGTGCTGTGACTTCAGCAGGGGAGGGAAGGGAGAAGCAGTTGCCTACCACCAGGACAGCATGAGAAAAATTGTTAAAGAACAGAAAACCTGGAGGGCAGGCTCCCAGAAGACTCATTTTATCTGATTGTCCCTGCCTGGTTTCAAGAACACAAAATACATCACAAAGGTCAGCGATTAATTGATAGCACAAGCCAGATTCAAATCGGGAATGCAGTGATGCAATATTAACCAAAGGCATCCTCAGAATTACTCAGCAGTGGGCTCTGATCTCAGTGCTGACCTCTCCATGGCAAACAGTACTCTGAAAAACAAATGACTCATCCCACACATCTTCCCAATCCATTATGTCCTAATAGGAAGGAGGCTTCTGCTTTTCTGAGTGCTGAGGACACCGCTGTCTGCAGGGAGAGAGGGCTGTAAGCTGATGGAAAGTGTTTCTGTAGAAGCAACAATACAAAGATGTACAAATCTCAGAAGAAAGAAAAAACGGGGGGAGAGAAGAGTTAAAGGAGGCAGAGAGATTAATTTGAAACTGGAGCAGCCAAGTCAAAAAGTATCTGCAGCTCCTGGCACAACAGTCCCTCGTGCTGAGGCCACACTGCACAGTCTATAGAAACACATAAACTCATCATTAATTGTCATGCCATCCAAGCTACAGGACTCTGGAGGACAGTGCTGGTGAGCACCAGTGCTCAGGCCCAGGGCACAACCAGGTCATACCCAGGTATCAAAACCCTCCTCCCCCCAGTGGATCAACTCCAAGCACCACCAGCACACCTGTGGATGACACACCTGAGTGAGAAGACTTGTCACTTCCTCAGCCCCAAGACTGAGCATTTTGATGGGTGAATGTAAAGTTCAGGCTTTTAAATCCATATTCAAGATGGAACATACTGGCATGATTTCCAGTAATGCTGAATATCCACACTCTGGTTTCAAATCAGGAGCAGTTTGACTATTGCGCACATCTGGTAATTAAGGTGTTTAATTTTAGGCCCCCAGTGCTAATTTTAGATTCAAATTTGACATATTTGTCCTCACTGCTCTGCATCTTAATCAACTTCACCATCAGGCACCTCTCCCCCCAAGCCTCACTCCAGCCAGACACAAACTTTGTGCCCTTTCACCCTTTCTGCAACAGTAAAATCTCCCAGACCCCCTGGTGCTGTGGTTTCCCATCCTTCCCACTGCCTCCCCAGTTCTCCACCACTGTCTCAGCACCTGCTGTGTGAGAACCCTGCCAGCACAGCACCCACTGAAGAGAGGCCTGAAGAACACACAAAAGACACTACAGGGACTTGTTCTCCAAAGATGAGGTTCAGATCAGTTGCTCCCAATAAAAAAGATCATCTTGTCCTCTACTGGGGAATCATCAACAAGAGCAGCACCTCACGAGTCAGCAGAGCTTTGGCCTCCACGGGTGAGGGGAGGTGAGAGGTGTGTGCAGTGAGGGCATGTTCTCATTGCCCAGGTGGGTGTCACTGCCCTCTGCTCCTGCCTGTTCAACCTCAGCTGCTTCCAACCATGGGAAGTTCAACAAGAGGAAGTGCTGGATTCTGCCCCTGGGATGGGGCAACCCCAGATGGACAGACAGACTGGGAATGAGAGGCTGGAGAGCAGAGCTGGGAAAGGGCCCTGGGGGTCCTGGTGGGTGCCAGTTGTCCCTGAGTCAGCAGTGCCCTGGCAGCCAGGGGGGCAACCCTGTCCTGGGGCATCAGGGAGGGGATTGTCCCACTCTGCTCTGCCCTGGGGCAACATTCTGCACCTGCAACATTGGGACCTGAAGTGCTGTCAGGGGAGATTTAGGTTTGATATTACACAGAGTCACAGAATATTAAGTGAATGGCCCATACAGGGGATTGAATCCATGACCTTGGCATTATTGGCAGAAAGTTTTAATCAAAGGTTCTTCCCCCAGAGGCTGGTTGGGCACTGCCCAGGCTCCCCAGGGCAGTGGGCACAGCCCCAAGGCTGCCAGAGCTCCAGGAGGGTTTGGCTGATCCTCTGGGGCACAGGGGGTGACTCTTGGGGATGGGCCTGTGCAGGGCCAGGAGTTGGACTCGATGATCCTTGGGGGTCCCTTCCAGCTCAGCACATTCTGTGACTCTGCAAGATGCTAAAACCTGCAAAGGGGACATGACATATGGTCCCTCCTCCTGTGTCCTCACAGACCTGTCCTGCACCATGAGAAAAGCAACTGTTTGAAGTGAGATGGAGATGTCAGCACTGAGAGGCACCAGCACAGCCCATCCATCACCCTCCAGACAGGCCTGCGTCCCATGGAGTGTGACAGACATGATTTATGCCCCCAGCACTATCCAGAGCAGATATATGGAATGGAATGGACCAGCCAGTCCTTCATTCACATTAGCCCCTTCTTTCCTTCAGAGAAGCTTCAGGAGAGGTGCATTTACCACTGTAGAAGTTTGTATGTTTACCATTTGTAAGAAATAATAGAATATGAAATGGAGAGAAAAATGGGAGGTGAGCAACAGATGCAAAGCACTGAGAGGCAGTTTGTGTCTCTGCAGAGGTTTGGGAAATACTCAGAAAAACTTCTACTCATTACCAGGGGACAGTGCCAGTGTGGCTCTTTAGCAGGGGCATTTTGGGATGACTAATCTATATTTCAGACATGCATTAGTTTTCCTTAAAGATGGATAACACAATGCAAGGGAAAATGAACATCAGCCTTATTTTAACAGCATGCACTATTTAGTTTGAAGGAGTCTTGCTGAAGTTATAGTGGATTTCCTGGATGCAACTCTAAAAATCACTGATTGTCCCTGTATTTTATGAGCTATTTTGTCACCATAGATTAAATTTAACCATTAAAGGACGGTGACACAGCCAGCTGGATTCCAATCTCATTTTACCTACTGTGATCTTTCAGTTACCAACTTAAGAAGCAGAGACTGGACACACATCTCTCCATTCTCCTTTCCAGGACAGAGCATCTCTTCTGCTCCTCCAGGAACCCAAAGCCAGACTAGAGCCAGGATCCAGCACCATTTTTTTTCCCTGTACAGTCTCAGCCTGTAAAATTGTCCTTCAAACCAGGGTGCAGAGATGTCTCTGACAGAGAAACAGGAGCCCCCCTTGGAGCCCTCAGGGGTTGTTACCTGTGCAGAGGTGCTGTTGAGCTTCTCCAGGCCGTTCTCCAGCCGCTCCGTTTTTGCCTTTAAATCCTCGTCCTTTTTCAGCAGCAGGCTCTGGTAGAGTTTGATTTGCTCCAGGAAGGACTTTGGGGTGGTGTAGTTGTAGCGGCGCTCGTTGCTCAGGTACAGCCGGGACATCTCGTTGACACTGATGTGGACATGGGCCATGAATTTGCTTATTGAATCTTTCACTGAATCCTACAGGCAAGATGAGAAGACAAGGAGAAACTATTTTAAATAGAAAACTATATATAACACAAGGCTGTGCTGAATATAAAGGAATTTGGTAACTTTTCTTTCTACTGCAGCACAGTAACACCTAAGCTGATCCCTTTTCACTGTTATCTCTAAAATAACTTTGTCTGCTTATGTACTTTATACCTCTTTTTATATCTTTTTATCTCACATATTATCTTATTCCAAGCAATTTTTCTAGCACTCAGCTCTACAAAATAACAGCCTTTTAAGTATAAATTTGGGCTTTTCTTCTGTACAAATGGGAAAAGTGCACACTCCTAAAAAGAAACATTGTAGACTTTATTCTTCCCAAATCCTTCCCAGAAAAAGTAAATAAACAGAAATTAATCTCCCTTAATCCAGTAGAATGTTGCCATCAATGAGAACTTGATATATTTTTGCCCTTGAGAATTCCAGAGGCTCAGACACATGTGGGGAGAGCAGAGTGTGTGTTCCCTGCAGTGATCAGGAGCATCAGGTTATTTTCTGTGCTGGGTTGGAGCTGCCTTTGTGCTGGCAGAGCAGTCCTTCCCTGGCAATGCCATCAGTGCCCAGCAGCGTGGTGCCCATGGCACTGCTGCCAACATCCATGTCCCTCTCTGAAAAACCTGGACCTTGTTTTAAGGATAGTTTGGTTGAGTTTGATGCACTTCAGTGTTACCAGCAGTGCCCCTCTGGACAGACACCCAGGTGTCCTGGCTCTGTGTTGCAGGCCCCACCTGCACCATTGGGGCAGTTTGGGGGGACACAATGGAAGGAAGGGATTGAGCCATTAGAGAGTGTCCAAAGGAGGGAAGGAGGATGGGGAAGGGCCTTGATTTGAAGGCGTGTGAGGACACTGAGGGCACTTGGTGTGTTCAGCTGCAGTTCCACCTTCCTGGGCAGGGGCAGAGGAGGGGCAGGGACTGAGCTCTGCTCTGGGGGGACCAGGGACAGCAGCCAGGGAACGGCTGGAGCTGTGTCAGGGCAGGCTCAGGTTGGATCTCAGGCAAAGGTTCTTCCCCCAGAGGCTGGTTGGGCACTGACCAGGCTCCCCAGGGCAGTGGGCACAGCCCCAAGGCTGCCAGAGCTCCAGGAGGGTTTGGCTGATCCTCTGGGGCACAGGGGGTGACTCTTGGGGATGGGCCTGTGCAGGGCTGAGGGTTGGACTCGATGATCCTTGTGGGTCCCTTCCAGCTCAGTAGATTGTGTGACACTGTGTGACTCTCACCTCCACAGCCCCCATGTCTCTCAGGAAGCAGAGGCTGACGGACTCCAGGGCCTCCCGTGGCCACTCCTGGAACCAGTCGATGGTGGTGCAGCTGACGAGGGCCGGGAACCTCCTGCTGCGGAGCCGCAGTTTGGAGCCGACGGGGGAGAAACACAGAGCAACCTGTGGAGCCCAAAGAGGAGAAGGGAGGAGGCAGGGCCAGGAAGAGGCACTGGGTTCCAACCATGCAGCCCATCCCAGACTCCACCAGCCACTTCCAATGGAGGATCCCACAGTTACCACCCAAACAGCAGAGACTGGACACACATCTCTCCATTCTACTTGCCAGGATAGAGCATCTCTTCTGCTCCTCCAGGAACCCAGCTCAGTCCAGGTCAAACCAAGGGAGCGGCAAGCTCTGTCCTGGAGCCCTTTGAGCTTTCTAAAGGCCCAGAAGTGATGACAACAGACAGCACACCCCATGCTTTGGAGCACCTTGCTGGGAGAATCCCAGCTCATATCATGCCCTGGCAGCAAAGCTTTTCAGGCTGCAGCCCCACGGGGCAGCCCAAGGCATCTCCACCCCACACATCTGCCCCAAGGGGGATGGGAAGGATCTGGCCTCCCCCATCCCTCTCACCTTGAGCTGCCGCCGAGCCCGCTCTGTAAAAAACTTCCAGCAGGTCTCCCTGGAGCCCACCAACCCCCGGCCTTTGACTTCATTCCTCACGCTGCTGATGATGTTCTCAACTTCCTCATCAGGGAAGAGATCTGGTATTTCCCCTAAGAGAAGAGTTTGGGGTTATTGGGCTGGGTGTTTTTGCACTCTTAGAGCAAAGGGAAGCAGCTGCCTCCCTCTCCTGGGGCCCAGGGAAGTCCCTTCCTCAGGTAAAAACAGGTGCCAACAGGCCCCAGTAGCAGCAAAGGGGCACAGAAAGTCATTCTTCTAAAAAAGAAACACTTAAGAAAGCAAACTTCCTTAAAAAGCACAGGGGAGAGGGACATAAAATAGAGTCAGAGCACAGAAAGTCCATTTTTTTTAGTTCTACAGAGCTAATTAGATTACAATAAAATAATCAAATCCCTAATATGCTATACAAGATATAAAATCATTTTAGTTCGGTAAGTGCATTAATTATATGTACAATTTCTGCAGCTGTTCAGGGCCATTTCCAGCATGGTCAAAAAACTCCCAGATCACCAAAACATTTTAAAAGCTAGAAATCTCGTAAACATTTTTAAAATTTAATAGTTAAGCAATTGATTGCCAAAAATGCACCCAACCAGATATTTTTTTTAGTGCTTCTTTAATTTGTCACCTACTCGCTTCCTTTCTGGCTTCTGATTTGATTAAAATCCCCTTTATTGAGTTAGATACTATCAATATGAGCACTAATCACTTAAGAAAATACATTAATTCAGAAATCTCCTCATTTATAAGAGTGACTAAAAGGTATATTCTATTCTGGCTTTCTAGATGATGATAAGAAGTGAAACAAGTAAGAAAACAGAGGCTGCAGAGCAGGGAGCAGCCAGAGCCATCAGCCAGCACCCCCTGGGCAGCTCTCGCTCATCTCATGGGGAGTCTCAGTCCTCTATGTTGCCTCCCAGACCCTGGAAGGGGACCTTTGATCTGTCCCCACAGCCGCCAGAGCAACCACAGGAAAACCTGATGCCTTTCAAAGCCACCATAAGCCACATAAGCTGCCAAAGGCCACCACAAAGCCAGGATGCTCAGTCCACCCCTCACTGCAGGACAAGGAATCCCAGAATCCTGGAACGCTTTGGGGTGGGAGGGACCTAAAAGCTCATCTCCTTCCACCCCCTCTCACAGGCAGGGACACCTTCCACCAGCCCAGGTTCTTCCAAGCCCCATCCAACCTGGCCTTGGACACTTCCAGGGATGGGGCAGCCACAGCTTCTCTGGGCAACCTGTGCCAGGGCCTCCCCACCCTCACAGGGAACAATTCCTTCCCAGTATCCCACCTAACCCTGCTGTCTGGCAGTGTGAAGCCATTCCCCTTGTCCTGTCCCTCCAGGCCCTTGTCCAAAGTCCCTCTCCAGCTCTCTTGGAGCTCCTTTAGGCACTAGAAGGGGCTCCCTGGAGCCTTCTCTTCTCCAGGTGAATACCCCCAGCTCTCTCACCTGAGCTTCACCTTCACTCATCAGGTGTTTGTGCATTTACACCAGGAGCTGGTGGGAGCTACTCCCTGCCCTCCACAACAACCCTTGTCCTTGCTCCTGGTAACAAATTCATCATAGGCAGCATTTGCTTGATGTTGAAACCATCTGGCCACCAATTTACAGCCACAAATGTCACCTCTGGAGTTATTCACAAATAACTATCAGTTGTGCTGCTGACTCCTGCTCCCTTCCCATCCCTGGAGGGCACCTGAACCAGCTGGTACCTCCCTAAGCCTGGCTCATAAACAAGGCCACAAGTGGCAGGCAGTGAATTCCCAGGGAGTGTGGGGAACATGCCCACTCTGGCTGTCCCCCACAGTCCCAGTGATGATGCCTCAAAATCTACGTTAAATAAGTTTTAATATAGCTTGCTAGTACCTTTGTACAAAATTCCTAAAAATGCTGTTTAACATTCTTTGTGGAGAATTTCAAAGACAAGGGATTTTAACAAGGTGAAGATTTCTGTCTCTGTAAAAACATACTGAGAAAGAGACATAGCACCTGATATAACCAGTCAAAGCTATTCAGAACCCTGGAAACCATTCCAGAGGGCATGACAGTGTGCCAAAGACCAAGGGAAAAGACGAGGAAGATGAAGACAGAAGGGTCTTCCAGATCTCTGACTCAAATTAGGGAGGTGTGTCAGGGGTGGGAGGAAGGTGGGTGTAACAGCATTAGGTAATGCTTTGAACTGTTAATTAGGTAACTAAATAAAAGCAAGAGGCTTTTGTAACTCTGGGTGCTTGCTTTGGAAGGTAAAACTCACTGATTGAGTCTTAGGGCTTTTATCTGGAGCTGGTTTTAGGCACCAGTGACACAACCTGCACTCCTAGGGAGCTGCAGCACACCCGGCACAGTGGGTGCTCACCACACATCTGTGCCACCTCCTGCAGAGAAGAAGAGTGCTGGCATGGACACTGATTGCTCTGCAATGGTTTTGGTGAGCAACAACCCAGAGGCATCTGGAAAAACAAGAGAGGAAGGACTGGAATGGGATAAGCAGCCAGGTGATGCACACAGACATGGTCATCATGGCTTTGCATCATCCCCAGCTCACAGATACTCCACAGAGGAGGATACTCTGCCTTGATAGGTCTTACCTGCCTTGGGCCTCAAATCCAGAGAATCCAAACAACGTGCTGAGCTACCACTGGTGCCATGGTGCTGTTTTGGTGTGGAATTGTGCTAAAACCAGCCTGGTTCACTAACTGCAAACACCCCCCCTGCTTTTTGAAGCAGCATTTGACAGAAAAGCTGCTGGCTGGCCTGGGAATATGCGACTGGCAGTCAATCACTTTATAATTATAAAAGCCCAGTCCAACTTTCATATGGCAGATTCTTCCACAGGCTTTCTTGGAGTGTGTGGAGCTTCTCCTGTGAAGCAGCAATGCCTCTTCATGGTCACTCCCCAGGGGCTGAGTGAAAGCGAGAGATCTGCCCAGGATCCTTGTGTGGTGAGTTACATCAATCTCTACTTAATGACTGTTTCCTTTTGCCAGTTTTGATACAATTGCTTTGACAGAACTGCTTTGATACAGTGCACTTGCCTATCTTATACTATATCACAAGTAGTTTTTAGCTTTTATACTGTGTAGTAAATAATTCTGAGTAAGATCTTTCATCTGTTCATTTGTCTGTTCATTTCTTATAATAAATAATTCCCTTTACATAAATATATCTGATTTGACATCATTAAAACCTGTGGGAAAAAGTGATTCAATCATAACTCTGTAATTCCTTAAACTGTGGACAAAAATCTGAGGCTGATATTGGATCCAGCCACCCAGGCTCCTCTCTGATGAGTTTAGAAAGCTAGGGGGTCATTTCTACACCTTGTAGCTCAATGAAGGGGCTTTTCTAATAAATTTTGTCTAAGCCTTTCGCTTCCCCCAACACTCCAGTAAATTCTTCTAGCCAGGAACAACCTTAATTTATCAGGTGGGTGCATGGGATCCATAGGTGAAACTCCTCACCTGGTGATACATCCTTCAGCTGCAATATCCCAACAGACACATCATATAACAACCCTGTGCAGTATTCCATGATGTATGGAAAAATGGGTACAAGATATGAGGGAAAGTAAAGAAATCTCCCAGCTGATGGAGCTGCTCCCCAGGGAGGCCCCAGCACGGCTTTTACTCAAGGGCTTAAGCCATGTAACTTCCAGCTTATTCCATTCTTGCCCTTCTGTAGATTCTCGAACTCCAGGTGCTCCACTGAAGGGGGGAGAGGAGAAATCAAAGCAGGAGGGATGTACCTGATGCCAAGAAGTCATTGACCAGCACCAGGAACTGCTCGTCCGCCACCTGCACGTCCGTCAGCAGGAACACAGTGCCCGTGTTCTTCACACCAGCCTTCAGGTACAGGTTTGCCAGGTCTGCCTGGAGGTTTGAAAGCAAGAGGGGTTGTCCCTACACTCTGCAAAGCATAGGCAGGGTATCAGACCTACCAGAGGGATAACTCAGAACCTTCCCATGCACTGAGAACAAAGCAATTGCAATTAATTGGTGTGAAACTGCACTTGGGCCACTCTGCACCTTCCTGTCCAAGCCTTCCAGGTCCCTGTGTCAGCCCATCATTGTCAGGCATTAACAGGTAAGGCTTGACACTACACCTTAGAAGAAGGTCCTGGCCAGCACTGCCAGACCAGGGCAATGCCTGTGGCTGAAACACTGACAGGTCAATGAGATGTGGCTGAAGGCACCAGTGCAACCCCTGGCTGTGGAGATTGTGATTGTTCATGTTTTCCTGCCTGCTCCCATGGAACAGCAGTTTTATTTCAAAGGGAACAGCATCCACCATCTTTGTGAAATCCAAATTTTTCATGAGTTGAATCATCATAGAATAGCTTGGGTTGGAAGAAGATGTTCATCCAGCTGAACCTCCATCCTTTCCTTCCTACCCCTCCAAGCAGGGTACCAGATGTGAGGGATCCTGAAGGACTGTGCACTGGACAAGGGTTCAGAAACTCTCTTAGAAATTCAGCAAACACACATGGTTTTTCCAAAAAAACCCAACTTGCTACTTTGATCACCGGAAATTTGGATTAGATGGATGATAACAGTGGGAAGGGCCAATGGCAGATGGGGGAGCTGTCATCATCTTGCTCTTCTATAGCTGAGAAAAAAAAATTACACTATATTTCACCTTAGGAAGAAATTCTTCCCTGAGAGGGTGGGGAGGCCCTGGCACAGGTTGCCCAGAGAAGCTGTGGCTGCCCCATCCCTGGAAGTGTCCAAGGCCAGGTTGGATGGGGCTTGGAGGAACCTGGGCTGGTGGAAGGTGTCTCTGTCCATGGCAGAAGGGGGGACTGTGTGGTCTTTAAGATCTCTTCCAACCCAAACCAGTCTGTGATTCATAAACTTTTTGAAGATGAATACAGAGTGAAGGGAACATCAAATTATCTCCCACCTCCAGAGGCAGAGAAGCAAAGAGATGCTTTGAAAACAAGTTGATTAAAGCTGGTATTGAGCTCTATTCCCAGCAGGGGGCTCCGGCTGCCACAGGAAATGGGAGGTAGGAGCTGGAAAATCCCAGGAGTTGGGCTGAAAACAGGAGAGCTGAAAACATCCAGTGGATGGTGGGACAGGCTTGTGTGACATGATGGAAACAACCTGGACACAAACACAGGTCACCAGGCTGTGCCACTGATGGGGAAGGAACCCGGAGTCATTGGCCGTTGCATCTCCCAGCAGAAGGGAGTGAAGTTACTGTGGTGGTGGTTTTCACATTTCTAATGCAAATCATTTTGCCAGCAGCTATAAAACCTTAAAAACCTTCCAATGACATTCCAAAATGTTAATTTATAACTCCTAAGCTCACTGACCTGTGCATAAATATAAGCAGGTCTTTAGTGAACCATCCACAATCCACTCAGTCCCTTCCACATAGAAAATACCAGAGGAGGAAATGGATCTGATTTGGGATTGGGATTTTCTGCTTGCTCCTTTTCTACCTCCAAATCACTCCACAATGGGCACCTCACAGATGAGCTAATTACCACACCCTGGTTTAACTAGAAATATCTAGGGTTCATTAGCCCAGCTCAGAGCTGACACTCAAGGCTGGTCTGGAATGTTCTCAGGCCTGGCCAACTCGGAGCACTGGCAGAAGACACCAGGGGGCTGCACCCTGTGCAGACACACTTCAGCAAGGCATTAGGAGCAGCATTGCTCCTCCCCACAGGACTCTGTCTGGAGTGTTCCAGTACCTCAGGATCACAGAACCATTCAGGTTGGAAAAGCCCTCTAAGTTCATCATATCCAACTGTTCCCCCCACACTCAAGGCCACCACTGACCCACGTCCCCAAGTGCCACATTCACACGACTTTTAAATCCCTCCAGAGATGGGGACTCCACCACTGCCCTGGGCAGCTGTGCCAGGGTTGGAGAGCCCTTTCCATGAAGAAGTTTTCCCCAGCACCCAACCTGACCCTCCCCACAGCAGCTTGAGGCCATTTCCTCTCCTCCTGTCACTTGTTCCCTTCAAGCAAAGCCTGACTTCCTCCTGGCTCTCCCCTCCTGTCAGGGGGTTGCAGAGCCAGAAGGTCCCCCCTGAGCCTCCTTTGCTCCAGGCTGAGCCCCCCCAGCTCCCTCAGC